AAGATTTCTTTTGTATGAATCAAGTTCTTTTACAATTTGATCATCTATGATTCTTTTTTTTTGTTAATGACTAAAAATAAAATTTATCCAAATGAATCATGATGTTTCGATATTCATGACTTGAAATTTTTTTTACAAGAATCAAGATGTTTTACTATTTGATCTTCTATTATTATTATTTTTTTTTACTAACGATTAAGGAGATTTATCCAAATGAATCATAATCTTTCGGTATTCATGACTTGAGATTTTTTTTGTATGAATCAAAATCTTTTACTATTTGATCTCCTATAATTCTTTTTTTTTCCTAATAACTAAAAAGGTGATTTATCCAAATGAATCATGATCTTTCAATATTCATGACTTAGAGATTTATTTTGACTCTTTTATATTCATGATTTGTATACTTCATTTTGTTGATGATAAAAGAGAAGAAGCAACTCATATTTTTTTATGACAAAGAGGGGGGAGTAACGATTTATACCTACTTTTGTTGTATAGGGGGACTTATAATGTTTTTATAACTTTTTATTAATAGTGACTTATGCCTAACTTTTATTAAATATTTTTTAAATTTAAAACTTGATTGAATATTTGGGCTTGCAATGATAATATCAACAAGATCGAATTTATCTTAACTTAAATTCAAGACTACCATTAAAAAGGTATTATCTTGAATTCAAGTTTATCATATTTTTTAAGATGACATATAGATAAGGAGAGTCTTGTTAAGATCTCATCATCAATTGAACTCTCGGTGCCTATAATTTAAATTTATCTTTGATGATATAATATTGAGATCCTTCATATGTAATAATATAAAGTAATTTTTATTTTTACATAATTAAAACATTAATACAAAAAGGAAAAGGTAGTACTGTGATACCATGATATCACTTGTTGAATATCAGATTTTGATTATGAAACCAATTGATAGTGTTTATCTGATCTACGTTTTGAGTGACACAGGAAGCTTCGATTAAAGAGAGTCAATTAAAGCAGGAAGAATCATATTGGGTCGGAGAAAAATATGTCAGAAGATTGGACGTCACACTGAAGGATTGGTCAACATATCGACAGAAGGCTTTGGGCAATGGGTTCTGGCATTGGGCCAAGAAGAGCGAAAATTACGCCAAGGAAATCGGAGTTGCAAAGGTCAACTGACCGATTGGGCAATAAGCTGCAAGAGAGGATGATGCACTGAAGAATCGGACAAAGTGTCGATGAACCAATGACATACCAGGCAATATTTAATTCAAGCTTTGTAATAATTGTCTAGATCGAAATAAGTTTTAAGTGTATAGGATTAACTATGATAGCGATCAAAGTATAAAGCAAAATAAAGTCCCAAAGTCAAGAAAGAGAGTTCATCGGGAGCTCATCGAGAGTTCGTCGGAAGTTCGCCGAGAGTTCGTCAGGAGTTTGCTAAGAGTTCGTCAGGAGTTCACTGGAAGTTCATCGAGAAGTTCGCTAGAAGTTCGCTAAGAGTACAATTGACATACCGGATAGAGATTACTTATTTAAATATCTTAATTATCATAGTTAGATCATAAGTTGAGTTAGGATTGAGAGGTAATCCCACTAACTCAGTTAGGGGTCAACTGGGCCTTTAACAAGGCTGAACTAGGTTGGTTGAACAGCCCATTCAGCACTTGAAGTCATTGCCAACGATGGCACCGCTTGGGACTCGGTCTCCCAAGTGATCTAGGCAATGGTACCACCCTGTCAGGCGGTGGTACCACTCAGACTAAGTAGTGGTACCGTCTAGTGTCAGTATACAAACAGTGGTACCACCCAATAATGGTGATGGTACCGCCACCCGAAATCCGAGGATGTGATACTTTTTGCCTCCAATTCTAAATCCATTAGGGCCTATAAATACCCCACCCTTTTCTGCATGAAAGAGCATGAAAGTGTAAACAAATATTGAAGTCTTGGGGGTGTGAAAATATTGTAAAAGTGCAAAATATCCTTCTCCTCCCTTTCTAGTGTTGTGATCATTCAAGAGAGGTGTGAGGCTTGTAAGGGTTCTCTCCTAAATCCATAAAAAGGAGAAGAGAGCTGTAAAAGGGTGATTTGTCTTCACCTATTGAAGGAAGATAATTAGTGGACATTGGTGACCTCGATGGAGGAGGAATAAAAAGTGGATGTAGGTCATAACGATTGAACCACTATAAATTCTGGTGTGCTCATTTTAATTCTACTTTTTATTATTGTTATTACTTTCTAAGTTAATTACGAGTTCATTTGCTCTAAAGTCAAACTCTTTCCGAAATTGGTTTTCAACGAACGAATATTTTACAAAAATCTATGATTTTTTTCATTGTACTAATTCACCCCCCCCCCCATCTTAAGGTCGCTCTTGATCATAACATCACTCTCTTCTTTTTACTAATAATAAAAAGAAATAGTAACTCATTTTTTTATCAATAAAGGGGGAGAAGCATATTTTTTTGTTAACCAAGGGGAGAAGTGGTGACTCATGAATAGGAAGAGTTATAATATCTTATGATTTTTTATTATACAAATGATTAACTTATAGTTATATTTGGATTGCTACTACATATTGATAATTATTGAAATTTGACACTTGATTGAGCATTCATTTTGGGCTTGAATGATGATTGAATCATAATATCGACAAGATCATTTCTTTCAACTTGAATTTAGTATATGCATTTAAAAGTATATATGATCATTGGAGTTTAAGTTTATCATAATATTTTAAAATAATAAATAGATAGGAGAGTCTTGTTAAAACTCCGTCATTAATTAGTTGTCATCATCGAAAAGGGAGAGATTGTTTAATCCCATATTTTAATGATGAAATCAATTAATGAATATATATACTAATATACTTTTGAGATAAGTGACTCAGGAAATACTTTGATCACAAACTAAGACTATCAAATGGTAAATTATCGAAGTTAGAGAATCAAACGTTGTGTCGAGAAAAGTATCATGTCAAAAATTGGATGTTGAGCTAGAGGATTGATCGATGTGTTAAAGATTGGATAAGTTTGGGCTTCATGTTGGAAGGATCGGGTATTACACCAAAAGATTAGATGTCGTAGAAAAGTCGATATGCCGATAGATCGGGCGATATGCCGAAGGAAAGGATGATATATTGGAAGTTTGAATGAAGTGCCGAAAGATAAGATAATATGCTGAAATAGCATACAATATGCTAAAAGCCTCTTAATTATGCTAGATATATGATTGGATTGTTAAAGTCTTGATCGAGATATTTCTTAGCCAAATTAAGTTGGTATTGGGCTATAACTATAGCAACTCATCAAGGAACCCATTAAGCTTGAATTAGGGCTAAATTATGCATATTAGAAGGTCAAATCGGTGGCTTAAACTAGGCCCAAGCAATGGTACCACCTAAGTCAGCCAAAAAGCACTATTACCACCTATGCTAACGGTAGTACCACCTAGGCCAATGATAGTACCACTAGAGCCATGATTCATGACCTCATTATAGTGATAGTACTGCCTGTGTAATGATAATACCATCAATACCCCACTCAGGCTTCGTTGATGGAGCACCTATTCTTGAGCACAAACGCGTTATAAACTCTCTTTGAACATTGTTTGAGTTTTTTCCTCCTTATTGTGTTTAGAGTTGATTCTAAATTGTAGAATGTGAGAGATCTTACAAAAGAGTGAATGTGGATGTCTTCTTTAAGTTTGTTAAAAGGAGAAAAGTTATAACAAGGGTAGTTAATCTTCGTTTGTTAGAAAAAAGATTAGTAGTAAAAATCGATGACCTCGAGAGAAAAGAAAGATATAAGTGGAAAGACCGAACAACTATAAATTGTTTGCATTCCTTTTCTTATTTTTGATTTATTGTTACTTACTAATTTACTTTATTCACAACCCTTACTCTCATTTTTGTTTAATCATATTTTTAACATAGATTTATCGATCAAAGTTTAAAATCGATTAAAATTTACTATAACACTAATTTATTCTTCTGTTAGTGTTATTGTGATTCTAAAAAAATTATCGGCATAACATTTTTAGCTTTTTTTTATATAGTTTTTCTAATCTCTGGATTGGATACTCCTTGCAGTCAACCTCAGTCATCTCTTACTAGCAAGTCTAAGTGCAGTAGTCAAGAACTAACTTGTGAAGCTATTCCCCAACATCACGGGACTAGTCTTCCAAATCCTCTCATCGTTCTTCACTAGCAAACCAAGAACTACATCGCTAATTATTATAATTAAAATTTAAAATTTTAATAGATCTGAAATATTAGAATTATTATAATTATTAATAGAAATAAAGGTGTTTATAAATTTAAAAATTAGAAATATTATAATTTCTTATCATTGTTTTGATTTTTCAAAATAGAATCAATAATCAAAAATTTAAAAATAGATTTACTAATGTTTGAGAATAAGTTTACTTTTTAAAAATAGATTTTTATATCAAATTTAGAAGGTAATTTTTAATATACCTTAAAATAAAATTCAAAAAAGATTTCAAACTTTCGTTTTGACTTACCAAAATTTGACACACTTAATTTGGTTGTTCCTAAAATAGAAAAGTTTGATTTTTTATTGAAGTAGCAATATGGAAAATTTGTTAAGGAATTAAATTTAAAATGGATCTTTTTAACAACTTTGGAATTTAAACTTTTCTAAAAATGAAATATTCCCAAATTGGTAATTAAAAAATCTTCAAATTCTGAAATTTAAAATATAAAATTAATTAAGTAACAAAGTTAGCATAGAAAAAATCCAGCAAAAAAACTCATATTGGATTTGATTTTCTAAAACTCATTTCGTAGGGTTAAAAATTAATAGATGGCGGAAGGGTAGCTCCAATGGACGAGGCGGCCGTGCGTTCTTACACGTGATTGCATGACCCCTGCGCTTCGTTACCTGGCCGAAGTCGTCCACTACGTGAAGGCCGAAATGTCCTGCCAGGCAGAGCTGTCGGCGTCGCCAAGCTCACGGATTTCGATGCGACGATGAGGATTTCCGAGGGAGATGGGCGTAGCTGGGTGGGGGAACACCGCTGTGGATGACGCCGGTGGTCGCCAGGGGGAGCGGCCAAGGCCGGAGTCAGACGTCTGGTCGCTCGGGTGCACGATCATCGAGATGGCGACCGGAGTGCAGCAGCCATGGCCAGACTGGAGACCAGAAGATGCTGCGGAAGCGATGTTTCGTATTGGTTGTGGCAACGAGCTGTCGGAATTCCCGCCCCTGCTATTGGAGGTCGCCCGTGATTTTCTCGACGAGTGCTTGGGAAGGGACGCAAGCGAGCGATGGACTGCAGAGCAGTTATTGCAGCATCTTTTCCAAGACGAAGCGGAAACCCCCATGGTGGAGACCCCGATGCTCGAATGGGCAAACTTAGAATTCCACGATAGCGCCGATGACGGAGAAAGTTGTAGTGTGAGTCACAGTGACCTTTCTGATTCCACCGAGCTGGTGGCTAGTGGAAGAGAGAGGTTAGGAGAATTAGCTTCATGCATGCAGGGGAGTTTTGGCCTGGGCAAGGAGGCTTAAGGAGGTCAATTTGTAGGGGGACGAAGCAGAAGAGGAGCGAGGGACATTCTCAGAATGTACTGATTGTAATAGTTTGGGTTCGGCAAGCAAGCATGGGGGTGTCAGTGAGGGAAAAGGCGATGATTTTACCTAGTGGAATATGATGCTCTGTTTCTTCTGCTACCTCTTGTCCTTGCTGCTTTTGTAAGGGTGGTTTGGTCTGCCATGTGAATGGACTCATTAGGGTGTTGTTTTGGTTGATGTTGTTCATGTTACATCAATAGCAACAAAAATTTAACTTAGGACCTCCATTTAATTAGTTTGCATCACTTGTGTCTGTCTCCCATTCTTCACGCCACAAAAGCACCAACCAAAGAACAATACCGTAATGAGCCCGTTCACATGATGGTAAGACCAAACCACCCTTGCAAAAGCACCAGGGACAAGAGTCAGTAGGAAAAGAAACAGAGCATCTCATACCACTGGGTAAATCATCCCCTTCTTCCTCACTGACACCCCATGCTTGTCTGCCGAACCCAAACTGCTGAAATCAGGACATTCCCATAACGTCCCTCGCTCCTCTTCTGCTTTGTTCCCCTGCAAATTGAGCTCCTCAACCCTCCTTACTTCCTCCCAGTCATCACTTTCCCAGGCCAAAACTATCCCGCATGAAGCTAATTGTCCTACTCTTTCTCTTCCACTAGCCACCAACTCGGTGGAATCAGAAAGAAAGGTCACTGTGACTCACACTATAACTTTCTCCGTCATCGGGGCCGTCACGGAACTCCAACTTTCTCCGTCATCGAGGTTTCCGCTTCGGCTAGAAAATGGTGCTGCAATAACTGCTCTGCAGTCACCGCTCGCTTGCATCCCTTCTCAAGCACTCGTCGAGAAAATCACGAGCGACCTCCAACAGCAGATTCCGGCAGCTCGTCGCTGTTTCGTAGGTCTGCAGCATCTTTAGGTCTCCAGTCTGGTCATGGCTGTGCTTCGGTCGCCATCTCAATGACCATGCACCCGAGCGACCAGACGTCTGACTCCGGCCTCGACCGCTCTCCCCTGGCGACCTCCGGCACCATCCGTCTCGGCGTTCCCCGCACCCAACTACGCCCATCGCCCCCGAAAATCCTCACCGCCACAACGAAATCCGTGAGATTGGCGACGACGGGAACTCCGCCTAACAGGACGTTTCGGCCCTTCACGTTGCAGTGCACGACTCCGGCCACGTCGTGGAGGTAACGAAGCGCACGAGTCACGCATCGTGTGTACGAATGCACGTCCGCCTCGTCTGTTAATTTGTAACGTTAAGAAATTATCTTTTAAATCTTATTTTAGTGTGATAAAAAGTATGATATTTTTATCAGATTTTTATCATATGCACTTTAAGTTGTGTATGACATCTCCTTTTATGATCCTTTACAATGATTCTATACAAGCTCAAGCTCAAAACGGCCTTTTTATGAATCTTTTAAAGCAGAATACAAATGTGTCACATATTCAAATTTTACTATAATATATATATATATATATATGGTTCCAATATAATCATTTGCTCTCAGTAACTTTTTGGACCATCGTAATGGTGTGATTGTATTCTGATCCCTATCATACAACTTCTTGGCAATATCAAAGATGATAAAGAAGTCTCTTGTAAATTCCTTTGAAAATAAATTTAAAAATAAGATAACTATTTTATAAATATAAATATAAGTAAAATATTTTTTATAAAAAAAATTTAAGAGAAGAAGAGAAAGATTATAATAGAAAGATTATAAGAAAAATAAAATAAAATAACGCTTAGACTTTTTATATGCTCAAGAAGAGAAGGAATTAATTTGAAAAGGAAGAATTACACATCTTCATACATCTTACATGTGGATGTAGAATTACACTATTTGAAAAATAAACATAACTTTGCACCATTTACACTACTGTTAGAAAAGAAACTAATTTATCAACTCATTCCCTAATGACTCATTACAATATTACGATCTCCTTTTATAGACACATGTACAAGAAGAAAAGGAAGGATTACTAAGAAAAAATCTAAACATGTCATGACTAATCAAATGAATAATTATTTTACACTCTTCGGACAAGAAAAGTTTCTAGGTTCATCTTACCAAATGATCTTCCTTTTCTTGATACTTAATCGTTTTCCCTTTTATTTAGCTAGATTATTTCTTTCCTCCCTTTTTAAAATTACTTTCTTTTTGTCTTCATCATAGCCAATCTATGAAACAACACCATGTGGTAATTTATAGAATTTGTAAAAGATTCCTTCAACAAATAGATTTTTTTTTAAATGAAACCTAACGTAATTTGCTACTGCTACGTAGGAAATCTTCTTAAGTGTATATGATTGATATATAGATCAGAATATCTTGGCTAAACCAAAAGCTTTAATACCAAACTTGACAACGGGAAGTAATATTTTTTTATAATATAAAAATAGAAAGAGGAGAAGAGAAAGATAATAATGATAAGATAATAAAGAAAAAGGTAACTATGAAATCATAGGATTAAGCTTTCACATCTTTAGGTACATGGACAATTAAATTATATCATTGAAGAATTAGATATGGCTCGATGCCACATATACAAAATGTCAATTTATTGATTTTTTTAATGATTCTATCACAATATTTTGGCCTCTTTTATAAGAATCAAGAAATTACAATCATATCAAGGCTAATCAAATAAATTATATTTTAACTTTTTGGAGAAGATAAGTTTCTATATTTGTCTCGACAAATAATAAGGAATCAACTTATTGTTACCATATCGAGCCACGTTCATTGAAGGTATTGGTTTAAGCTTGGTTATGGTACAAACTTTAATTTGAGTGAAAATACTTAAATTTTTATTTTTTAGTATTAATTCTTAAATACTTACATTTAGCGTCTTAGTCCTTATACTTTAAAAAGTTATATTGGTATCCCTATGGTTACGAAAGTGAAACGATTAGGTTTATTTACCTTAATGACGTCAGTTTTTATTGATAGAAATATAAAAATAAAAGGTAAAAAAGAAGGTAATTTTAAGTTTGGTGGTGGAAGATGTCGATAGCGAACGGTGACATCGTTGGCATCGGTGATGGTAGACCCCTCCCCCTCCCCCCTCATCCTCGATGTCAAGCAGTCATCGCCCTCCACCTACTCGACCACTTCCTCGCCACTACCCCCTTTGCCTTCCCCCTCGTCCTCCCCTTCTCCTTCTCCACCCTCACCCCTGGCGTTGAGCACGTCTACTATATTTCTCACTACCATCCTATTCATAGCGTTGGCCTAAGAAGATGAAGAAGGTGTCATCTTGCAAGTAGTGCCATCGAGCAAAGGACCCTATTTCGCCCCATCGAGCAAGTAGTGCCATCGTCTCCCACTCAGTGTCACACTAAGATATCCATGATTGGTGTCGAGAATGTGGGCATGGCCATTGCTAGATGATCCTAACGGATGAGCTGGCACCGATGGATGCCAAACTTGACAAACTATATAGGGGGATGCTAGACCTATAGCACGCTGCAGCTTGTTTCCTGTGCACTCAGATCCTAGCATCTTCGGACCACAAGGTGACGATGAACTTAACCTTTCTCCTATGTACCTAGATCCTAGCATCTCTAAACTACACAATGACGAAGAACTTGGACATCTATATCATCACGGTCGATGCTTGGTAGATCTGGTGGAGATGTGATTGAACCTGTTGCAACGCAATCTGGTGCTATTCAAGGAGATCGTGCCACCATTGGCAAGGTACTCACTGGGGATGACACTGCTAATGGTGTCAAATCCAATGATGTTATGTATATCACTTGGAAGCTGTCGAGGTTTCTGCCTAACAAAGTGATCGAGTTGGGGACTAAGCTTGACTCCTCTCGTTTCTAATTCTTGCTCACCAAGGTCAATGGCGAGGTGGTGGGTCAAGTCAATTAAGAAGTTGGAGAGGAGGGCAAGTGAGGGAATGGGACCAGGAGATGATGGTACGGTAGAGGGAAGAGAGGGCGTGGATGAGGGTGGTGATAGAGTTGTTGTAGGAAAGGTGGCAGATGTGCTCAATGCCAGGGGCGAGGGTGGAGAAGGAGAAGGGGAGGACGAGGGGGGAGGTGGAGGGGTAGCGGTGAGGAAGTGGTTGAGGAGGCGGAGGGTGGCGGCCACTCGACGTTGAGGACAACAGGGGACAGGGAGGGGTTCGTCACCACCGACACTAGTGGCGCTACCATTTGCCATCAACATTGTCCACCATCAAATTTAAAATTATTTTTTTCTCTTTTATTTTTATGTTTCTATTGATAAAAACTGATGTTGTTAAGGTAAATTGACCTAATCGTTTCACTTTCATAACTACAGGGATGCCAATATAATTTTTTAAATATAGGAACCATAATACTAAAGACAGCTAACTATAGGGGATAATATGTAGTTAGCCCAATAAATTCATATTTAATAGCTTATTCGAAATGTTGCATATTCTTTAAAGAAGATAAAGATGATTATAAGGTAATTGATATATATTTTATTTTTAATAGTATTATATATTTTTAATTTTTTATTGCTAGACACTTTATATGTTTTCTTATTTATGTAGGATTCATCATACATAGATATGTGATCATGAAAATTGAAAATATGAAATTAATGAAGAAAATTAAAAATATAAAATTAATAATTTATTGGTTTATTTGGATATATTTGTATTTGAATATTCTTATGACATGCAAACTTTATAAATATAGTTATTATTATTTATAAATTTTTGTATAGTTAATTAGTTTCGATAATATTTTTTTTTCTAAAATAGAATGGATTAATTAGGAGAATATGAAGAACCTATCAATTTCTTGCCCATAATGTGGATTCTCTATCCCCTCTCCTATCCCATCTAAACGAGGAATGGTGTGGGGATGAGAGTATTAAATCTCGAATTTTGATGATAAAACTAATTGATGAGTTTATTTAACTAATATACTTTTGAGATAAGTGATGCAGGAAATACTTCGATTATAGACTTAAACCATCAAAGGGCCAATTGTCGAGTAAGAGAGTCAATGTTATGTCAAAAATTATCATGTTGAAAATTGAACGTCGAGCCAAAGGATTGATCGTTGTGTTAGAGATTGAACTTCGTGCTATAGGATCGGACATCTTGCCGCAAGGATCGAATATTGTATTGGAAGATTAAATATCGTGGGAAAGTCGACATATTAGTGGAATGGATAATATGTCGAAGGAAAGAGTGATATGCTAGAGGTTCAAATGAAGTATCAAAAGATTCGACAATATGCCAGAAGAGTGTATAACATGTCAAAAGCTTCATAAATATGCCAAATGTTTGGTTGATTTATCAAAGTATTGATTGAGGTCGTTATAGGTTAATTTAAGTTTGTATTGGGCTAAAACAATACAAACTTATCAAGAAAGCCATTGGGTATAAAGCCAAGCCGAATTGGGCCCATGAGGAGGCCAAATCAGTGGCCTAAACTAGGATTGGGTTATGGTACCTCTTTCATCATCTCTCATAGATCTATAGGTTTTTAGGGATATACGATCTCCTTTGGTAACATATCTTTTACATATATATAGTTTTTCGGTTTCGCATGACGATAAGAAACTTTTTCTACAAGAAATTTCAAGATTTTATTTTTTTATTTTTCACCGCGCATATGATGGTGCCCCAATTTTCCTAACACAATCTTCGCAAGACAATGAGAAACCCTTTTCTTTGAAAAATTTAGGATTTTATTTTTCTATTATTTCATTGCATAAATAATGCTTTGTCTAGGTTTCACATTATGGCCAGCTCGATATTAGGCCTAGAGGGTCATACACATATAGTGGACAATACGATGAATAGAGGATCAATATGGGATATCTACTAAGCTCCTGGTTTAATAGATTCTTGAGTGAGACCTAATAAGGCATAGAATAGTTATTGGATGGTGATCTAATATCCATTAAGCTAGGAGTTATTGGATAGATATCCAATACCCAAAAGAAGGATCCATTAAGGTTAGTTAAATGAAACTCTTTATATGTAGGAGTTGGGGCTTAAAGAGTCATAGGTTAGACCCCTACTATTGCCACCTTTTACATCTCCTCCCTACAATTTCCTTCAGTCAACTATCCCCTCTCTGGTGTGAGAGGACAGTAAGAGGGATCGATCCCTCCTTGGTAGTTGTAGTGGGGTGGTGCACAAACACGAGGAAAAAGTGCGCTTTGTGTAGAGGTGCGTTGTCACCGCATCTGCTATGTAGATCACTACTAGAGAGGAGTTTGCGAGAACTCCTTCATCCACAGATTGAGATCTATAGATTAGGGGATATATGATTTTTCCTATATAAAAACATCTCAACTACTATGCAGTTACATGATTTTTATCGCTTTGAAGTTTTATGCTCTCGATCTTCGCACGATGATTTGATAAATCTATTTTTTGAAAAACTAGTTTTTATTTCTATTTTATGCTACACATGTGATACTCTCTGCAGTTTTCTAATAGTTGTATTAGAGCTAAGTTGTCTATGCAAAGATCGATCATTAACTACATCTTGTGTTGAATCACGTAGAATTGGTTTTTGCGTTAAGTAGTTGTGTTTGTTACTAATCGCATATTTGAACTACATATGTTCTAACACTTTAAAAGGCTTCATTGACCACTAGTTTGTCATCAAAATAGTTGATAGAAAATTGAAGAAAAAGGGCAGCAAATGTTGCAGCCCTATAACACTAGCAAAAGCCTTGCTACCCTTAGCCAAGCCAAGCAGAGCCCTTGCAGCCAGGGTTTCTTGGCTGCAAAGGGGACCCTAGCGACCAAGGCTTCCTGGTTGCCAAGGGTACTTGGTATACCTAGTGCCTCCACTTGACCAGGCTTCAGCAGCCCTGCATCTTTGCTTCATCCTTGGCAGTACCAAGGACAGCCCAAGATACCAAGCTTCAACAGCCCTATGCTTCTATCTCGCCCTCGACAATGCCATGGATAGCCTAGGGGACTGGGCCTCTATAGCCCTCAGGGCTCCTTACCTCTTGGGGTACCATATAGTATGGAAATTGTAAAGTTTTCAAAATTGAATTAAGGGTTAATTCAAGTATTAATTAAATAATTTAATTAATTATTATATAGTTAATCCTATATATGCATATACATGTGATGTATGATGTGGACAGATGATCATGAGCCATGTGTGATGATGTGTATATATGTATGTGATTATTATTGAGGCCTACGAGCCTCCCTCTCTCTTATTATATATAGCATGTAATAATATCTCCCTCAGTGTTATACCTCCCTTTGATAAGATCAATGTTTCTCATTTATGCAATATGAATATTTTTGGGCCTATATGCTTGTAATTAAGTTGTAGTTGCATGAGATGGCGCGACGAGAGCGTGGAGGTGCCAGCGAAACCCATAACGATGAGACAGATATTCGTCAGGTATGGAGATGTGCCAAAGTGCTTACCAGTCATAGGTGCTCTGCATGCCAATCACGTGGGTGTTGACATGTGTGACACGTTGCACGATTTTTTTACTTATTATTATTATTATTGATATTTTCTCATTTTATATTACTTATTGCATATATTGTGATGTCCTTTGATCTATGCAATGAGAATTGGATCATGATGAGATAATGATAATGAGAGCAATTTGCTTATAAACACAAATCCTAAATTTTTTCGGTCATAAGTTGCTCGAGAGAGACATCAAGATAACCAGACAGACTGGTGTGCTGTATGTCATCCGTATGATGGATGCGGTTGATCTCATAACTACTCATGTGGAGACACTAGGGATACAATGTAGGTGCTCATTAGAGAATGAGTTCACTGATTGATTCGCTTACGGAATGCTAGATGGTTGATGATACTTTATTGTCAGACAACGATTCCGTAGTCCCAATGGTTTATCTAGTCCTTAGACTTAAGACACTAAGGATGTCCTATATAAGTGCTCCATTTTTTGATACTGGACTTATAGGTTTGGATGTCCTAGATCTAGTATAATTGGTCATCAAAAGTGGTAGTCAATCTTACGAGGGCTATTGAGTGTCGATAGAGGATCATCCACTCTCGATGTCATGAGAGGAATATTCTATATGTTCTTGCTCAAACAAATCTCTGGCCAGGGTCATTCAGATTGAGAGAGAAAGAGTTATCTAGGAGAATCCGATTAGAGCAAGACTCAAGTAAAATTCGCATGGGTTTGACAACATCCTACTTAGTATACAATCTCTAGGATATTAGATGGATGAGGGACTATAGGTACATGGTAACTAAGGACAGACAGGTCTAATGGATTGGATTAATTATTGGATCCTATGGATAAGATCCAATAAGAGCCCGTGAGAGATTATTGGATAGAGATCCACTAATCTAAAAGGCTTGGATAGTTGGATGCAGATCCAATACCCAATAGGGGAGGATCCATTAGAGTTTGATAAGGGACCTTTATAAATATAAGGGATTCAGTAGTTCATAGGCTAGAGCTTTTGCTTGCCTCTCCTATTCTCCTCCCCCTCTCTACCTCAGAGCAGGTCTGGAGTTTTGAGGAGCGTCGTTGTAGTCCTACTATGTGAATCATCACTAGAGAGGAGGGCGCTTGACCTCCTTCACCCTCTCCTAGAGATCTATAGGGAAACAGGGATATACGATCTCCATAGGTAACACAATCTATTCTATACTGGACGGTGGTACCGCCTAGTGGCAAGGTGTCATGTGGTGGTACTGCCCAATGTTAGTGCTGTAGACGGTGGTACCATCAGGACCTGGAAAACTCAGGATAAGACACTTTTAGGCTCCAAGTTTGAATCTACTTGAGGCCTATAAATACCCCTCTCATCTCTGGTTAACATACATAAGAATTGAGATAAAAAAGAAATAAAAACGTTGTTGTAATCTTGTGAGAACTCCTCTCAAGCTCGTGTTAGTCTTGCTTAAGAGAGGAGTGAAGGGGGTTGTAAAGGTTCCCTCATGAACTTGTCAAAAGGAGAATCAAGTTGTAAGGGTAGTTGATCTTTGCCCATTGAAGGAAGATCGTTAGTAGATGCTGGTGGCCTCGACGAAAGAGGAATCGGCGGAGTGGATCTAGGTCACGACGATTAAACCATTATAAAATCCGGTTTGCATTTATGCTTTGCTATTTACATTTATTATAAACTGCCATACTTCTTAATTACTTTAGCTATACACTCTTACAAACGTGTTTCAAGTTAACATCTTTTCCAAAATTGATTTTTA